GCGAACGTGTAGGCCCTACCCACCCAGCGAGTGATGTAAGTTTAGGGGGATAGCTCAGGTGTGAGTGAGATGTTCGGGGAAAACAAACGTGTCGGTCAGTTCACACCCCGGTGTGATCCCGTCTGGGGCAAACATTGTATCGCTTCATCGAGTTTACAACGTGTATGTGATCACATTCACGATAGTGGCTGATCTTCGATGCGACGGACAGTTTATTGATCTCAAATTTTCACTCTTGGTTGATCGGCTCTACCGCCCGGGTTTTTTCCCCGCAAATTATGATCTGAAATGCGGGATCTTAGCCGAATGTAGACTTTCAGAGTGAATCAGAGCGGGATCTTAGGGGTGCCTTTGGATAGTAAAAATTCTGTTTTCTTAAAACAGCGGGATCTTAAGCAAACCGGGATCGTAAGCGGTGGGATCTTAGGCGGAGACTACTGTATTTGAGAGTTTCACTTTTCTAAACAGCATCGGCCAGGCATCTGTCACATTGAGACTAGTTCCACACTCTTCTGGCTTTGCATCTCTCAACTTGTTCTCATCACATGTTTTTTGTAAGCTGTAAGAAAGCTGATTTTAGTGATAGGCCTTTGTGTTTTTTTGGATGGCGTGACAGTCTGGTATACATACACATGTACATATGAGCTCTCAGTACGCTGTTTCAGCAAACCTTGATTTGGCCCTTTTTTATTGGGTTTGAATAAAATGTTATTACATAAAAATAACACAATAGTTTTAAACAAAAAACAAAAAAAGTGTAGTGTAGGTCTCAGGTTAGTTGTTGAATGTAGTTCCCACTAGATATTCTTAATGACACATACATGCATACTGTCATGCTCATGTATGAAGTGCTCTTTTTTCCAGGAATACAAAAAATGACTATGGGTCAGTGATAATTAATAGTTTCTGCTATTTTTTTCCCAGGAATAAAAAAAATACTATGAGTATGAGTCAGTGATAATGATTTTTTAAAATGGTTCCATGTTCACAATCAGATTAGCGGGCTTTACAGAAGAATATAATTTATATATATATATATATATATATATATATATATATATATATATATTAATGTATTCTACCATTTCTGGAAGTACATAGTGTTTTGGTTCACTGTAGCCAGTTGAAGGTCTTACTTGGTTACTGTTTATCATTTTCTTCTCTTCTTTTCAGACCAAATGTAACACATGTTGTTACAGAATTTGAAAGTGTTGAACAAGTTGAAAAAGTTCTCAAAAAAGAAGGATGGGAATTACCTAAGACTGCCCATTTGGTTGTGATAAAATGGTTAACAGAATGTCTGAAGGCTTCTAAAATTATTGATGTTCAACAAAGCCACAAACTGAAACGGGTAAGTAAGGCGATGGACATTAGATTTGCTTTCACATGGGTTAACCGATGTAAAATTGTTGTTAACTTTTCAAAATTACATTTGTCGGATTTTAAAAAAATATACGTCTGCAAGGTCCTTGACACAATGTAGCCTAGCTACTGATCTAGCAGAACTTTTCTATTTAAATTTATATTAAGTTCAGCTGGAGCTGTACATGTAATTGGTTGCTACTTGTTTTTTCCCTGCGCATGGCAGATCTAGATGAATCAGGACTGGTCACAATTTGTCTCTAGTCTCTACCACTTGTCAAGATGACAATTGGTGTTATCCCGTTATACTACTGCTAGCCCTGGTAAACTGCCAACTTCATGTTTGTCCCAAGGCAGGTGGTATAACGGGGTTTGACTGTATCAGTATTACTTGTAACACACTGAAAAAATGTCTAGGTGAACAAAAAGAATATGTTGGGTATGCTGCTTCTTTTTAAAAAAGAATTTTGCACGTCTTGAAGTATTTTTTCTACTTTTACAGACTGAAGAAACAGAATCAGGGGACAAAGAGGAGGATGGTAACCTTACCGTTCCTGAATGGGCTTGTCAGAGGGTGGCCAGACTTGTGCACCTTAATAAAAAATTAACAGTAAGTTTGTAGCTGATACAATGCTCTTCTGCCTTACATTATACAGTGGTGTCTGCTAAAATTGAAATCTGTAGGACTGCCAAATTTTCTTCAGTTTTGCCTGGTTTTCGGTTTTGACTCGGAGGTTGGTCAAATAGAAGAAGAAAAAAAGGATCAGGGATTTTTATTATCTTTCAGTTTGTTGATATTTCTAGATTAACCAAGTTCAGTTTTAGCGGACATTACTGTATATCGTGTATCTTCTTCAGTTTCCTTGAACACCCAGTATTTAGGGGATTGTGCTATTTCCCTTTGTTTGTAAGGGCCTATAGGGGTCCCGCAAAAGTGTGCACTGTTAACAATGTTATTTTTACCCGCCAAAGTAGTTTTTGTTTGCTTGTTTGTTTTTGTTTTGTGGTAGAATCGGAAATGAAAACTTAATTTAGACGGCCAGTCACGAAACAGCACACTAGGGCTACACACTGCCTGTGCGTACCACTGCCCGCTGTGCCACATTCATACTACCGCCTTTATCCCACCTCGTGCGTGATACATAATCAGGATTAATGGATAGTGAGGGGCAAAGGTGAGATTGCAGCCCGCCTCCCTTTCTCGTCTCCCCGACTCTCTTTGTATTTTTTTCATCTGTGTGTAGCTTTGCCCTAGGCTAGATCCTATGTCCACGCGCGCGGCTGTGTGCATCTCTCTGCCTTCCTCTCCGCGCATGTGTGTGTGTCCATCACTTGCGTTCTTTGTGTTTCTCTTAACACACTCCACTGCTGCGGTGTAGACTGTTCAAACTTAGATGGGTCATCATGAAAGTATTGTCTGTCTTGTAAATGAAGCGTGCCTGAAGCTGAAGTTACCGTGCTTAAAGGCGTGTAATTTATATAGCAAAAATTCGGTAAGAGCCGTTTAGTGTGCTTGAGTCTGAAACATGCCTTATGCCGGCGTGCTTAAAGCTTGCACGGACTGTATAACGCTCTGTACTGTCATGAACAAATTTTCAGTTTAAATTGATTAAAAGAATTGCCCTTTTCGGTGATTCATCATAGTAGGCTACCTTGTCTCAATTCTTCCTGTGGGAAGAAAGCAGAGTTTCACTTTTATTGTCTTTTGATAATATCTCATTTCATATTCTTGTCTCCCTCTGAGCTGATAATTCCGTGAACCAGGCACAATGAAATGTGGAACCTTGTATTTTGAATGCAATATCAACAGGATGCAATTGAAGTGTTACAGGAGCACGCAGAGCTGAGAGATGGCCACCAGGATTACTCCAGAGCTCTGGCCTTCAGACGGGCATCTTGTGTCCTGAAAAGTCTCCCCTTCGCAGTGCAAGATGTGAGACAATTGGAAGGTCTCAAAGATGTTGGAGGACATGTGAAACGAGTATTGTCAGTAAGTGGATTACAGATTTAGTATTGGCTCTCGATTCTGCTGTCTGTTTTCAATATCTTTTTTGCTCTGCTGTTTAGGTACAGATGTGTAAGCAACAACGTATTCTAAGAGTTTAGGGTTTGATAGTGAGGTTCCATCGGAACACCAGTCTATTGCCATTGGTCAGTGAGCCTTGCTCTCTTCTTCCAGGTGATCACTTACTCTATCGATTTCTTTTGATGTGTTCAAGGACAAAGAAATTTCCACCAATGCAAAACGTATAATAGCTCACTAGCCAACCTTTTGGACATCATAAAATGACCCAGAGCATGTTAAACATGTGAATTTAAAGACAGCCTATAAATAACGAGGTTAGTCCAGTCAATTAAACACACATTTTGTTCTGATCTAACCTCACTAGCACCTTAGTGAGGATCAATGGAGCAGCTCTTGAGATAGAAAACCTTGCTTACCAAAAGAGGTTGTGTTGCTAACTCAGATTGCATTATAGTACGCTCAGGTGGAACACATACTTCTTTTGAGGATTCTGTCTGAGGCCCACCACAATACACTGGCAGAATTTGATTGCCTAATTTTTAACATTTAAAAATCTGAGATAGTTTTTTGTGTCTCTTGTAAAACATTGAAATTCAAGTTAATGGTGTTCCAACAGAACGCAGACGATTTGTGCTTACACTAAAAAAAACATGAGTTTGATCTTTGATCTTTTATATATATTGCATTCTTCTCACTGGTGGAGCTTTACCATGCCACATGGACTTGCCCCGACAGGCCTCCTAAATAAACTACATTGAGTGGATGGGGGCATAAAACGTTTACAGTAAAATGAGAAGATAACTAGAGTAAGCAATGTAAAATATAAAGCTTTATATTAAACTTCATAATAGGGAAAGGAATTTTGATTGCCTGAAATCTGATACAAGTCGTTGGGCATTTTTTTGTTTCAGGATTTGCTTGATAATGGCTCAAGTTCTGAGGTTCAAGAAATACTCAACTCCAGTTGGTATCAAAAGATGAAGGTGATTTTTTGTCTCAGTTACATTGCTTATTACACTTTGGTTTATATTGTCCTATTAAAAGATCTTACCAAAGTAGAGCACCGCTAATGCCACGTCTTCTTGTTTATTTGTTTGTTTTGGACTTCCCAAAAACAATGTACTTCCATGCTTTGGGAGATTTTTTGAGTGTGCAAGCTAAACATGGGAATATTGGAGAATGTGGTGCAGTCAACTTTTTAAATTTCTTAATTGTAATATATACTTGTATATTGTTTTTGTGTATATATGCATTTCACAGGACTTTTTATAATTTGCCATTTCCGATGCACTTTAGCGACGAAATGTCATCATGCTGTGTGAACATGAAGAATGTCCCTGCACATCTCTCAGTCATAAGGTGCAGGTATTCTTGGAGGCGATATTTTTCTTGACCATTATTGTGATTCCTGGACAGTTCATTTAGTACTAAAATTATGACACATTTGAAACACAATATCTGTGCTCATCATATCGTCGCCGCAGAACTATTTTTTCCAAAGTGTACATGCATATACAGTGCACTTTGGACAAAATAGTTTTAAGGCGACGATATATCTCTACTGTTCTCAATTGTCTCTCAATTTTCTCATTTAATCAGCTGTTTACAAGTGTTTTTGGCATCGGTCCCTCAACGGCAAAGAAGTGGATTGACAATGAACTGGAGTCTATTAAAGATGTGAAGAGGAACAGTGTTAGAAGCTCTGACTGGCGAGTGATATGGGGTAAGGGGTCAGCAAAAATACCATTCATCTTTGTGAAGTTTGAAAAGAATAGCCTATTCTCTTACTATCCATTGGTGTATTGGTTATTTGGTAGTACTGTAATGGAAAAGTACTTTTCTTTTATATCTTGTACTTTGTCTGTTTTTGTTGTGAAGTCAGAATTTATATAATGTTTTAGTTGCTTGAGAATACAGAGAGCAAACCACAAGACAAGGCAAGGAAAAAATGACAGTTGGTTAAAAGCAGTCAAGGGAAGCGTGTTGAAATTTCTTACGAACAGAAAGGATTTTGCAAAAGTCTTTTTCTCAATATTGGCATCATATTGTCGAGTGATTTGCTGAAAAGAGAAATTGAAATTAAGTATCAGTATAAACTCTAGTTCTTATGATACAGAGGGGCAGCTGATTCTCTCATCCTTAGTCTTTGCCTATGTGGCGCATGGCGAGTTTACTCCCTTAAGTCTGACAGATGAGAACTCCCTTTAGATAGATCTTGTGCTTGGTAATTTGCAGTGTGCCAAATGTGCTTATTCTTTACAGAGTTGTTTGCCTACTCTTTTTAAAGGATGGATTAGTTGGAATTTCAAAGGTTGTTTAAGTTGGTAAAAATGAAATAAAACCAAACCAAAATAACATTGACCCCTCCCCTGAAAAAGAAAGTCACAAGATTGGGTGAGGACTGTTGAGATGAATAAGTTGGGAGATGGTCCAAGTGACTGGTTCTATTTTATGATTGGCAAAACACTCAACCAAGCTATTAGCAAGGAAACATGCCAGTTGCCATGGCAGCTCACAGCAGCTACGGTTATAGTGCTCACAGCGCTCATGTCATGGTGAGGTCAGGATTATATGGGGGTGCTAGTTGTGGTTTATGCATTAACTCAGATGACTGATCTGAAATTTTGTCTTTTTGTTAGTTTTAAAACTGAAAACAGCATTTCATCTCTTTATTCTAACAGGTTTAGCCTTTTTTGAGGATTTGAACTCTCCGGTTTTGCGCTCAGAGGCAGATCGTTTCCTTTCCATTGTGCAGCAAGAAGCAGAGAAACTACTACCTGGAGTCATTGTGCAACTTTGTGGTGGATTTCGGAGGTTGGTAATGTCAAGGCATTGAGCTCACTTGCTGCTGAGCACTTTTAGGATTACCCTCTGAAGAATGTTCGGCGTTTTGACACCCATTAAAAAAATCCTTATTATTCACCACCCATCAATGTAACCTAGCATACAAAAAGGCAATAAGTCATAATGTACAAAACAAAGGGAATTTTTTTAAAGATATCTTGAATACTTTAAAAAAAAAAGATTTTTTGTATATGTGTCAAAATTTAAAAAAAAACCCAACTTTTAAAATGAAATAGGACTTTTGCTATTTAATTTGTATGTATGTCTACCTTTTCATGTCAGTTTGTGCACAAATCAAGGTTTGAACAACAGAAGAACAATGTGAGTTATTTAGAAAAATAACAGACTTGTATCATTCACCAAATTGTTCAAATAAATGAAAGACTTTGCTATGCTACATTATTTGCCTTGTTGACCTTTGATGTAAAAAAGTCTGCAAAGCAAGTTTGATTCACTCTCAAAGGGGCAATACCAACTCCTGCAGGGTTTAGAACTTTTGCCTTTTTTTTCTTTTACACTTGCATGGGGGGAAGGAGGGCAGAGTTTTGCCCTAGGGCCATAGAATCAATGTCAGATTCATCACATTTGTTAAATTTGATCACTATTACCTGTTTCAACTACCGTTTATCTATTCCTGTTCCTAGATCTAGCACCAAGTTCTCTGTCACTATTCCATACAGCGTTCCCCTTGCTTCTACTATACCGGTACTCTGAACTCTCTACATAACTCGGGTCAGCATCGTTGTCATCTTCTTCAGCACTAGAAAAGTCAAGATCTGACCCATATCCAAAATGGGTCCATCAGTTGGATAATATTGCAAGATTGTTTATTCGCTATAGTGATGAGTAACAGATTGTCTTGAGAGACAATCAATATTTTATTCAGTTATCAAGGGATGTTCTCAAACAATTCTCAATCAACTTTGAAAGTACAACAGTTACATAGTCTCATAGCTCAGACCCAAAACTCTCCGTCTAAAGAAGAAAAAAAATGGGAAACTCGAACCTGAGGGGGTTCGTAACGGCAATTGGCAGTACATTAAAAAAAACCTGTGAAACATCCTCGGATCTGGCAGTGAGTGAGTTAAAACTCAAGAACAGAAAGGGTGGGGGTGAATCCTTTTAAGCCAGAGCTCTTCATTTTTCTGCTCTTCTAAATGGCACTGTCTGGATGATATAGGCTGTCCATTACTGTTTGTTTGTCTTTGTCTCTCCTCTTTTCATCTCATTTGGAGCATCTCTTTTTACTGGTTCCTCATTTCCTTTCAAGGGCTTACATAGGGACAGCGTCTAGTCCTGGTATGTTAGGGTTAGGGAGATGGGGGGAGACATCTTTGATTAACTTTGGTTTGGTTTCATGGGGAGGTTCATGGACATTTCGACTTGTTATACACTTAATTAATTAAATTTGCATGTCATCTCCCCCCACCCCGTCCACAACAGTTTATAGATCAAGGGATACATTGACATTAGAGTCAGAATGTCTGGGACACCTAACACTTGATCCTATAATCTCAAACCTCCTGCCACCCTGTTGAGAATAGAGAAGATATGATGGCTGTGGTTTCCAATGCCTGCTGCAGACCAGATTTTTGATGATGATTGTCTAGTTCATATCAGTATGTCATCTTTCTAAGAAGTTAATTTTACTATCATGGCTTTCCTAAATGTTGTATTTGCACAAATCATGTATATATATGTAAATTGTGAATTTTATCAATGTATATGTTGAGCGAATAGGTAGTCTTTTTCACCATGCTTCCCCAGGGGAAAGTCAAGTGGCCATGATGTTGATATATTACTCACGCACCCAAAGGAGGGCTCAGAACTGGGGTTGTTACACAACTTGCTGCTGGCACTGGAGAAGAAAGACCTGATTCTTATTGGTCATAAAGAGAAAAGTAGCTTCAGGTAAGTAGTCGACAGGGATGTCCTACTTTATCAGTGAGGGGTTGAATTTGCACTGGTCAGGTTGTCCTCTCTCTCCTCAGCTTTGCTGTGTAGAATGTTGCATCTTAAGAAAAGGTAACATACTATATTTTTTGTAGTTGACGCCAGCCATAAACGAGTACTTAGCAGTTGATAGATGCAACTCAACAGGCTGGAATGCTTGGTGCTCCCTAGGAGACTGAGACAATGGATTGGAGTAAATGGCTAGTGAAAGGAGTAATTGTAAAGTAGTAAACTTTCTTTTAGAAGGGAAAAATAGACAGTTAATACTTATTTTTACTTTTTATTATTTTTTTCTCAAGGTCTCCTTCCCCATTTCCTTGCTGTCATATTTTGCATTGCACTGTGTTAGAGATTTGTCTTCAAACTTGCACTTTTCTTTTTAATGAACTTACTCTACATCAACAGTGATAACATCAAACACTAAAGTTAGGTGGAAATGGGGAGAAAAATTGTGTTACTCTTTCAGAATATGTAACTGTTATTCAAAATTCTAAAGCATATTCTTTATCCAATTGTTTTCACAAAACAAAACATTTAATATTCTGTGTACTTATTTATTAAAGCAAAGAGCGCCTACAAGTTATCAGGATGTATACTGTTCATCAATAGCACAGATAATAGTATTAACAGATTGAAAAGTATGTTATTCTGACACCATACATTAAATGTCCTCATCTTCATAGTTATGATGTAGATTGATAAACTGGTTTCTGTGGCGTTCACTGTTGCACACAAGAGACTTGAGTTTGATTCCCAGGTGGGGAGAATTTTTAACCAAATATCTCGGTCTTCTGTTGGGATGTTGTATCCCTCTGACAGGCAAGGTCGAAGCCCACTTCCTAAATAAATACTAAATGATAATTGTGTCAATGGGGCTGCAAAAACAACGATATTAAAGATTTTAAAATAAAAGATTGATAACATTTTCACCTCAAAGTCATGGCAAACTGTACCCATATTGTCAGTCCTACTTTTTATGTCCTTACACCAATGAACCTCGAGTAAGGCTTTCCAGGAATATGAAAGCAAGTTTTCTTAACTCTTGCATGTTTACACTGTTAAATATTAAAACAGAATGTACCGTAGTCTTCAAAAGTAGATTGGGTGGAAAGAATTTTGCTTTGCCTTTTCTATCTGAAGGGCGTTTTATTTCATTTTGTCCCTTTTGTCAACAATAGTTAAGAATAAACTTGTAGCATGCAGATAGTACTTTATTCTTCTCTTACATATATTTATATGCTTTTGGGTTCCTTGGTGTCACAAGTTCTTTAATTTATATTATCATTTTGAACGACACAATATCTATCCCGGGTAATCTTAATTCTGTGTTTATATCCACAGACAAGAAATTTTGTTCCAAGACTTTAAGCTTAGCATGAGAGGACAGTTGGATCATTTTGAAAAGTGGCTGGGAATTTGCAAGTTTCCTAAAAGTTTTCAAGAGCAACGGCTGGACTCCTGTCTGCATAATGATGATTCAAACTCAAATTCAAACTGTTTATCAGATCATGCTGCACAAGATTTGGATTCAGTGAAACACTGTGAACATTCTGAAGCAGACACTCAAACTCAAACACAGGGCAACAGTCAGCTTCACAAGGCTTCACAGGAAAAGAGTTCAGAAGGAACAGTGCCAACATGTCATAGTTTGAATGAGTCATTTGATGGCACTTCTTATGAACCCAGTGCTAAAAAGGCAAAATGTGGCTCCTCCCTTGATGCATGTCCAGACGACTTGGCAGACTCCGAAAGAGACTGGGTGGCTCGTAGGGTTGACTTGATTATAGCCCCTTATTCTCAGTACTACTATGCCTTGGTCGGATGGACAGGGAGTAAACATTTTAACAGGGATGCAAGACTCTATGCTCAGAAGGTTCTTGGCCTAAAACTAACCAGTCACGGACTTTTTGACATGGCAAAGGTAATTATGCTACTTTTCTGTGGTTGGCTGTCATTGAGTCGATTGATCAATCGGTGTTACTTTGTCATGCCAGTATGAGTAAGTCGATAAATCAGATAACCAGCCTAATACAAATGAATGCTCTAATAACTTGGGGACCCATCAAGTTTCACTGGACGCTCCTATCGTCCACTTTGGGTGATAGAGTTGATAGCATGTTCTGATAAAACACAGATTACACGACACTCAAAACTCGAGAACATGGATAGTTTGTACAACATGCTATTCCCTAACTGAACCGCTATTTTTCTTTTTATTGACAAATCTGTTTTCTCAAACACTCGTACAGTTTTGTCAAATAACTCATCTTGAAAAACTCTATCATATTTTTTTCTATTCTATTGTCTCAAATTTAAATCGCTCTGTGCGCACAATGGACAATAACACAGCCGTTGTCATTGAGAGTATCAGATTGCTTTAGCCTACCAGGCTTGGCCCGGCATAGTGTGGTACACTCACTTCTAGAATTAAGATGTATCATCACACATTTCCTGTTGTGTACTTTATGCACTAGAACTTCCTAGAATCAAGTCATGTGAGAGTGAGTGCTGGGTAGTGGGATGTGGTTCAAGACAGACAATGGAGTGCTGCATTGGGCCATCGTATGGTGTCTCATTGATCTTGTGCAGCATTGCAGGATATATTTTTGTAGATTTATAATGGTTTTGCTATTTTTTCTTTAGCATTGTAATTGTCTCTGCCATTTGTTTCCGAAGTATTGTTTTTATTTTTGGATTATTAAATACAGTGGAAATTGAACATGGATAATTAAACAACAGTGGTAAGCCAAAAGAAAAAAACACTACTTATTAAAAAAAATTTCCTTTGTAAGAAAACTATCGATTAGTAGAAATGCCCTATTTCTAAACTGATCAGAATTTCGAGAGTTATGTCATCTAAATCTTCACTAACGACCCTCTAGTAAAGTAAATCATGAAGGCTTATGTGCTTCTAGATAGCGAAACAGAAGAAAGAGACTCAGGTTCACATAAGCTGCACACATGAGCATGTGATGGCACATGGTGTATTTCAAGACGTTACCGGCATATGGCTTTCTTTGTCACTTGACTGTCTCCTCTTTCGTCTATTCTGTACATATGACTTTTTAGCAGATTTAGCGTGACGACACAGTTAAAGAGAAAGCATAATGCGAACAGCCCGCAGCTCATAAGCAATTACTTTCAGCCCAGAATTCAGTGAATGTGTTTTTTACCCCTGTGTTAGGAATCTTAGCCCACTTTTTAATTCTTTTTTTTTTTTTAAATGGATGTGCCTCTTCTCAACTTAACAATTTCTTTTTGTTTTACACAAAATTACAGAAAGAGGCTCTTCCAAGTTCCAGTGAAGCTGAAGTTTTTCACCATCTCAAGCTGCCATACAGAGATCCTGAGGACAGAAACTGCTGAGTTTGACCCTCTTCATGTAATGGAATTTGATATCAAGATTACCAGGAGTCATCACAACTCTTGTTCAGTGTGAAAATCAAGCTCGTGCCCACTCATGGTCAAGTTGTAAAATCTAGAATTTATAAATTGTATTATAATAAACCTACTGGTATCCCGCAACATTGATTTGGGTAATATGAAATTGTTCTTATTTCAAGTTGCTTACTTAAATTAAAATTTGTATTTCGAAATACTTTTATTTTCACATGGACTTACAGTGTTTGAAAGTTCCAAAGTGGGAAAAGAGATTCGAATGAGTTTGTATTTAAAAAAGTGGGATAAAGCAGCTGATCAAAGTTTCAGCAAACTGACTTTAGCTCGCTGACATCTGATAAATGACGCACCAGCATCTCTGTTGGTTTCAATTTCCCTCTGTTTTTTTTTCTTACTTCCAACTGACCCATAATCTAAGCAATTGTGGAAAGGGAGAGCATATATATATTAGGCCTCTTTTATTTGGTAGTTGCATCCCTTTTTCTGTTTTATAGCTTTTGTGAATTTTCTTGTTAGTGAGGAGCTGGGGAGTTGCAACCAATATATATTTCATACAGGATGTGTTCCACAGTTTTCTTACAGGTTGAACAGAAAGATTTTCCTGACTTCAGATGAATAACCATGAGTTTTTATTGGTTTATCAGATGATGAAAGTAATTACTTAGATTAACGTAAATCCCGATTATACAGTTAACAAGGGCAAAAAGTGCCTTTGAGTACTCTGAGGTTGCTTCAGTTCAAATGAGCACTTCTTCAGCCAGAAGCTTGAGTGATTCTGAGTTGGAGGTTGATCCCATGCTTGCAATAAGTTTGATCTTACAGTCAAGCACGGACAAAGCAATCAGGCACATAGCAAAACTCACACAGTGAAGGGAACAAATTCAGGTCCTGATTTTTTCTTGTATGTATATATTCTTTGTATAGAAAAATTGGTATACATACAGTCATACCTCATTATACGGCCTACCCTGGGACGAGCTTGAAGTTGGCGGTACAGGGGGGGGAGGGGGGAGGAGGGGCTGGCCGTACAATGAGGTTTATTTTATATGTCCTCTGTTAAATACATATAAAGAACTTGTTTACAATCACTAGATGAAGTAATCTTTATCTCCCTCGATCTGTCACTTAATTAGACTTGAGCTAGAGTCCTCAATAAATTTTAAAAAATAAAAGCCCTACGGGCATTCACCAGTGTGCAAGTTATTTTGTTAATTTTTTTTATTGACCAAAGCTATAACATATTTTGTGTAAAACGAAAAGAAATTGTTAAGTTGAGAAGAGGCACATCCATTAAAAAAAAAAGAATTATAAAGTGGGCTAAGATTCCAAAGCATTTTCATAATCAGCGCATCACGTGGGGAGCAAAATTTGATGGTGAATTACAAAGTTATGTTTTATTTTAATTGTGCTCTTCTACTTTTATTTACACATTGTATTGTCTTCGCTTGCGACCCACTAAGCTTAGATTACTGTAGATCTATCCATATTGCCTTAAATATTACAAGACAAGGGTGGAGAGGTAGAATGGGTGGGGAGGGAGCAAATTGGCGAAAGGCATTTGATCTACACCTAGGCCTAGCACCTAGAGACTTGTGTGTGAAATATTGTCAAGCAGCCACTGAGTGGATGTGCCGTGCATGCGTGGTGTGTAGCTCTGTGTGCACTGTGTAGTTCTGGCGGCCAGCGCACTGGCGGTACAACGGGCGGGGTAAATTTACAGTAGTTTAATAAGGTCCAGCTCATCCGGGTAAGTCGAAAATAGTGAAACTAGGAAAAGTTTCAAGCCCGGCGATGACAGTGGAAGACACTCCCCTGGAAGAAGTGGACTCCTTTACCTACCTTGGAAGTGTCATCGATGGTAAAGGTGGAACTGAGGCATATGTAAAAGCAAGAATCGCCAAGGCAAGTCAGCATTCAACCAATTGTCAAATGTCTGCGAAAGCAAGCAACACATCTCGCTGCGCACCAAAAATTCGACTCTTTAAGTCTTTAATTCCTTTGTCAAGTCTGTGCTCCTCTACGGCTGGGAAACTTGGAAGACAACAAAGACTGTGCTGAATAAAGTGCAGACTTTCATCAACATTTGTATGAGGAGTATCCTGAGAATTATGTGGCAGGATAGAATAAGAAATGAAGAGCTGTGGGAAAGGACAGGACAGAAGGATATATAGAAGTTGAAATAAGACTAAGAAAGTGGCGATGGATGAGACACACCTTCAGAAAGCACAGCGGAAACATCACAAGACAGTCGCTGCAGTGGAACCCACAGGGAGCATGAGGCAGGGGTAGGCCACGGGAAACATGAAGGAGATGTGTGCAAAGGGACATGAGAGAGATGAAGCTAACTTGGAACGACCTGGGAGGGATGGCCCAGATAAATGGAAGGAGTTTGTATGTCGCCTATAACCTGCCAGGGGTGAAAGGCATTGATGATAATAAGGACCGTACAATTGAGACAGTTGGCGGATGGCGTTGTAAAGGCGCACATACTATACTACTATGTTTATATAGGAGATTCTTTTCGTACATTGGCAAAAAACCTGGACGTAAGCGGGTTTTCGGTACAACGTGGGGCTGTGCGATGAGGTTTGACTGTACATGTATATAATGAAACGATATATTTGTATCCTAGCAATTTCTTTTAATACATGCATGCTACCCAGCATATCTCGAAAAAGCGACCAAAATGATCATTAGTTGCTGCATAGGGCAGAGAGGATGCTTCAAGTTACTTCAATCTTCACACAGGTTACACATGTCTAGCACTTTGAACCCGATGAAGTCCAGCAGTGACGGCAAGTGCAACATGACGTTATTTTATACATTACATGTTTGTACATGGCCTGGGCCTTCAAAGAGCAGCAGAGACAGAAAACAGAGTCACAGAAGAACTTTATGTGAATAACAGTCAAATCTCGTTGTTGCGCCAGCCCCACTTACCGCCAGGTTTTGCAAATTTACGAGAAAAAAGGACGCCTAAATAAGGCATATTACTTTCGCCCTCACACCATCACCCGCCAACTGTCTTGAGTTGTACAGTCCTTATTTAACTAATGTAAATTTATCCCGTCATGCCGCCAGTGAACTGACCGTCAGAGGTACACACTGCACACGGCGTACAACACCCACTGCTTGGCTAATTGATTATCTTTCTCCCACGAGAAAGACATAGAAATAGAGAGAAAGAAAATTCTCGGCCCTGAATACATAGATCTATGCCCTGAAAAGCATATAAGGGAAAAACACAGCGATGTCAGGTTTTGGCAATTCCGAAATAATTTTGAAACAAATTTTAAAGACTTTCAACTCATTTTCTCCTTCAATGATCTCTCCTCTTCGGCAAACTGACTTGGCTGGTTTTTCCCTTGTCAGCTGTTGGCAAGGTCTCCATTTTCTAAGAAGTTAATGAATTATGAGAGTTTTTTTTTTTATTTATTTTTTTTTTTACTCATTTGGGAATACAAGTACAACTAAATGATTAAATTAAGAAAACTGCGCTCGTTTGTAATTACAATGTTTATTTTTGTTTAATTTAATATTCATTTTGGATGACGACTCTGAGTCGTCAGACTCTTGAGCGGCATTTTGGTCCTCCAGCATGGGGCGATTAGGAGAAAAACTGCGAGGTCAGAACACCTTTACTTAGCTTTAGGACCTTCAGGTCTGCATATTTGGCAGCTTTGATGGTCAGCGAGCTTTTATGAAGGGGTATCAGGGGCTGCTGTCTTGCAGCACGCTTCTTTCCCCCCGACTCCGCCGAAATGATTGCGGTGTGAAACGACGGACCGTTCTAGCTCTCCCTATACTACTGCATTAGCTGTGGATGGGCGTGTGAGATGCAGATTTCAAACAGAGGTCGGGTGGGTACAGGGCACAAGACACGGTACAGTAGTACGGTTTGAGGTGTTCTGACTCATTCTGGAATACGGCTTTTGACATTCCCACTATCTGGAGCAGCGAGGGTTTCCGACGGGCCGTCTTGGATTGCTCCATCAACCGGCTGGCATTTCTGCAGTGACTCGTGACCATCTCATTTACCAATGCCATGTCTCTGTCACATTCCGTATAGCCGTGGCCTGTTACTGAAAACGAGATTTTCACTTTTTTGGTACCTTTCCAGGTGGACAACAACATGATAGAGAAACCAGATCACTGCCCAGTTCTTGTTCTGGCCTGCACACGGGTCACATCAACTGGCAGAATGTGAAGCCGTCCCCGTCGTTTTATGCAGGGAACATTCGGAAATTATGCAAACTGAGCCCGAAAATGTGAAATTATGCGATTCTGTTAATTTTAACAAAGAATTATAACGGAAAATATTTCTAAATTATCAAAAAAAAATAATCAAATTTGGCTAAATTATGCGGGGTGCATAAAACCACAGGGACAGGTGTAGAAAGTAATGTTGTAACATGCCGGCCACGTCGCCTCCACCTTTTTTGCCATCTGTCTCATAGCAGTACAGGTGTACTGTTTCAACACTTAGAGAGTGGATGTGAAAAGAGGAGAAAGATATCAACCAATGATTGTACAAATCGTTTCCTGAGGTGTTTGGGCAGTTCTTCGAAAAATCTAAAGTTAGCGCAACAGGGGTGCTCGTTGAATTTAAAAGATTTTCACATTTAGCAGCGCATAGAAGACATATGTGCCTTCATGAGATGCAGTTCTTTCTCCTAGATCAGCTGAGCAGTCAGTTTTGGTGTTGTGTCGGGTGAATTGAGTTAGATAGCGAAACGGTCACAGGTTAAACACGTGTCTGTGCTTGGATAGCCAAATCCAATTTTGAACTTCTCTGAGAAGATTTTTCAGAAACCCAAATTTTGAAAAGGCTTACTTATTTATGAAAAATTTCAAAATCTGTTGGGGTTTTCTTCAAATCCACTGTGTACGGTGTGTCATATATGTTAAATTTGTAATCTTATCCTGGCATAGGTGGTATACTGTATGCAAAAAGTATTTCGCGACTGCATGAAGTCATGTGAGCACGCGGGACACATTAAACATTTTCAGTTGGTAGAAAATTATGAATTTTGCTCGGGAAGGGGCAGAAGCTTTCTCTCTTATCGATTTTGGACCACCAAGGGATCTTTAAAGTGCGCCACTTGCACACGGGACCTCCGAGATTTATCGCCCTTATCCGAGA